GTCTATCTTTAGTGTATAAGTTCCTTTTGATGATTCTGAATGCTAAAATACTTTGGAAAGGTGAAGTTGGTTCATTTACTTGTCAGGTTTCATTCCTTGTCATATTATTCATTCACCGAACGTCATTGTGTTAACGGAAGACGAGCCAAATTTATTTCATACCGGCTCCTATCATGTGAGAAGAACCAAGACAAGGAGCCCTCATAACAAAAGACTAATACACGTTAGGCGTCCATGAACAAGGATAGTTTGAGGATTCTACGTTAGCTAGTAAAACACCGGATCACAAACTGAAACCTGACGATTAAATGGACCAACTTCACCTTTTCAGAGTATTTTTGCATTAAAAATCATCAAAAGGAACTTATACACTAAAGATGACCAAAGGAGAGTCATACAAGACTGCCTTCTTGAGGTAAAGCGCGTCGAAAATGGTGTAAGTCCGCAGCCGCACTACGTATTGCTTCTGTGAGCCATTTGCGCCCTACTGAAAAATCGTTATTGTCGTTCATAGCTTGCGACCGTGCAGAAATGCGGAATCTGCAGAAATGACGAAAAGCAACAGATATATCGATCTGAAGAAATGCCGAAAGTGAAGAAGTGCGGAATCTGCAGAAATGACGAAAAGCAACAGATACGTATCGATCTGAAGAAATGCAGAAATGCCGAAAGTGAAGAAGTGCGGAATCTGCAGAAAGTGCGGAAAATCGATACGTGATCTTTCGTCATTTCTGCAGATTCCGCACTTCTGCAGTTTCCGCATTTCTGCATTTCTTCAAATCGATATGTATATAATGCTTTTCGTCATTTCCGCAGATTCCGCATTTCTGCATTTCTTCATGGTCGCAAGCTATGAACGCGGCCTAAGGCATTGTTCACAATCTGAGACCCTGACGACGGCGGTTCGGCAAAAGCAAAAAATACTTATTGATCGGAGAATCGCCAACCGCCCCGTTCGACGAACCGCCGCGGTTCAGCGGTTGGGCGAAAAGCAATAGATGCGTATCGATTTCGCAGGCTCCGCCTTACAGAGTGGTCGGGCTAGCGTTCTTCGCGCAACCGCCAGACTCTTCGCCCAACCTCGAATTGATACGTATCGAAAAGCGTTTCTTTCTCGAGAAACGCTGGGCCGCAGACTGTGAACAATGCCCTAAGCTGCGTTCTTACTTCGCGACATAAGCGATACTGGAATTGCGCGAGTGTTCGGTCATTTGATCACGTCACCGCATATCGCCCCAGAACAGTATTTTCAACGGTATGAATTACTGCAACGGTCAATAGCAGCCGTCGGCCTCGACTCGAATTCCCATCGCGCGGTATTCGCTCAAGTAGCAAAGTATTCCGCGGTTTCCGGTTTTTACCTTCGTCGGGACCCAAAAAGGCCAAGAACGCGAGGTCGTCTCCCCTAAGGCTGCTAAACAATACAGCAGCGTTCGTACTTTGCATTAGGGGAATGCCCGCTAGAGAAAATCAGCTCAGGTTTCCGCTTCCGAATCTCCTGTTCACAGCTCCGCTAGCGGCTGGAGTTGGTCAAATACTATCTATCTTTGCACTTAATGTCGTGTTCTCCTAGTGCCGCGGGGATGAACGCGATTCGCTAAAGGGAAGGTCCTTTCCTGTTCAACCTTTCGTTATGTCATTATAGTTGAGGTCGCGCTAATCATTGGGAGGGGGCACTTCAAGAGGTGAGGTACTTCTAACTGAACGAGGTTATGCAGAAGAATCGTTCCAAGTGCCTTCCCTCCTTCTAGAAGTTATTGGCACCGCTCAGGTGGTTTAGGGGCAAATCCCACCACTTTTTTCTCTTTCTCAGTTAAATTCTGACGAAGCCAAAACAGCCGAACTCTCATAGCTGATGTCCTCGCAATCCAGCGTGGCGGTGTCAATGGGACCAGTCTGAGCCCAGCTGCACTGCATTTTATCCAGTAGCGGTCGATTCAGAAAAAAAAACAACTTCGATGGGAAAGGTCGCTGATGACTGATTTCAACCTCCTGAACTCGCCCTATTAGATCGCGATGATATCAATGGAAGCGATATCTATTTGCACGACTGAAATGGATTGCCGCTTGAAATAACTGTTACCTTATATAGATTGGAAACCATTTCAAATGCATTTTAGAATCGGATGAGTAAGATGAAACTTCTTGATTCCGATGATGATGATGAGGACGTCGGGGAAACATCCAACTCACTGGAAATCAACAAGAACTATGCTGAACGTTACGATAATTGGAGGAGACTAGAAGAACTACAAAAGAGTGTGTTTCATTTTCCAATTCTGTATAGGAAAATTAAATTGAAAAACTTCCATGTCTCGATTGTGCCCAATTAAGAACTCTGTTTTCAGTCAAGGACAAATACGGCGATAATCTCGATGACACATCTTCGAGTGAAGAAGAGCCTGTAAGTTTAAAGTCGCTCTTTCGTGATGGCTATCCAGTGGTTCCCAACATTGATCGTTCAGGAGTGGAGTGCTGCAGATGAAATGCAATTTCTGAAAACTCTCAGTGCTTTGAAGGATAACGATAGTGCTATCTATGATGGAACGTCCTCGTTTTGGCACGATAGTGGTGGAGACGAAGCAAATGAGCGGGAGAAAGCGAAAAAGAAGGATCGAAAACCGAAGCCGATGTACCTCAAAGATTACGAGCGGAAACTGATCCTAGAGAAAGGAGGGTAAGCGCAGTTATTAGTTATTCCTACCTGGATCGATTTTGTTCATCTATTATCTTTTTTTCATTTTTTTTCGTTGTTTTTCATGCAGTATCCAGCGAGGAGTGTTTTGCTTTACCTATTTGCTTTCCACTTCACTTTTTCAACTTCGTGTTTAGTCAAATAGACGAGAGCGACGAGGAAGATGAACAGAAAGGCTCAAATTATTTTGAACAACAAGAACAGATACGGAACGAGTAAGTTCCTATGTTACCGCAGAACAATTAAGGATAAATTACTACATCATCTAGACTGCGTCGAGTGGTTGAAAGTAATGACGATGGCAACGTTTCTGATGAATCGGACGATTTGCTCGTTCCCAAAGTGAAAACCAAGGAGGAGAAGGTTGGATTGTTTTTCATTCCTTTTTTCGCTTTGCCGTCAAGTGCTATTTTTTCCTCCTCAACGTGCTTGATTCGAGGAAGCAGAAGACAACGATTTTTATTCCTGGATGAAATCACAGGACTCACAGGAAGTTAGTGATGACGATAGTCTGAAAGGACTCAAAAAGGTGATATAGTTTGCTTTTCCCCTGTGTTTTGTTTTAGATTTCTTACAACATTTTTGGCACAGCTCCACTGTTATGATTCCAGAAACTTATGAGGATACTTTCCGCTGAAACTTCGCCCACAGAAGTTACTCGGTGCCCCTGATCACGAACATGATATATATTTTCAGCGCTGGCGCCATTTGGCCCCATCACTTTTCTCAACAAAATCTGAAGACTTATGGCTTGCTTGACATTCTAATCATTAAAATCACTCTCTTTTCACTCTGGTGACAATAAGCGCTAACGCACTGTCACATTTTTTACTAAAATTCCTGCAAAAACCTGTAAGCGGGGGTTATTGACATACTGATGACGAATATGACTACTCTTTACTCTTGTTGCTAGCGCTAATCTAGGGCACTCTGATCATCAGTGTTCTGCTAAGGCTCTTCCAGGGGGAAGGGAATCACTCTACCTCCCAGGCGCAGCTTTTGTGGACCGCTAAATTGTGATGGTATGGAAAAATGGGTGTCTTATCTGTGATAAGGATACCAACCAACCAAGTTCTTTTCGACTTTGGTAAGACAGGTGATGGTGCGAAATGGCGCCAGGGCCAAAAAGGATGGTCACTGCCGTTATCAGGGCACTAAATAACATCTATACGCAGGCTTTCAGCGGAAGTTTTTTTTCAAGTTTGAAGTCGTATTAGTGGAATAGTGCCTTATTTTTTTATTCTTGATCTGACCGTATAATTTTATTTCTATTTGCTCAGGCTTGGAAGGATCCAAATATTGATGAAGGGGAAAAGTTTTTGCGTGACTATATCCTGAATAAAGATTTCATTCCTGAAGCTGAAGACAAGTAGGATGTCTTTCAACCTTTTGAATGGATGCTCAGTTAATATTTAATCATGTCATGTTTCTCTGAAGCTATGGAATTCAGAGCTGTGACAGTTGACGACCTCCAGGAAATAGAAGAAGATGAGAAAATGCTTGACATGCAACGGAATTTCGAACAGAAATACAATTTCCGCTTTGAAGATCCGGATCAGGAGTTTGTACGTTTCTTTGAAATTGATCTGTTTTGTTTATATTCGAGGGCTGCAGTATTTTCATGGTTAAAGTAATTTAGATTAAACAATATCCTAGAACCGTAGGGGATTCCCTAAGACAGAGCAATACTAAAAGGAAAACGAAAAGAGAGGAGTACAAAGAAAGAAAGGAAAGGGAAAAGAACGAGCGTAAGCAGGTACGAGTTTGAATAATATAAGCTGTTACTGTTACTTTTTGGCCATCTTGTTTGTTTTTAGGAGATACGGGAGTTGAAGAATATGAAAAAAGCTGAAATTGAGAAGAAGCTAGACCGATTAAAAAAGATGGCTGGTGATGATATTCCCATTAATATTGACGATATCACGGGTGATTTTGATCCTCGCGAATATGATAAGAGAATGGAGGTCAGCCTTTATATTATCAAATCTAAGCCAAATGTCTTATTGGGATTCAGTTAGTGGAATCCTAATGTCGTGCATTTTTCAGCAAATTTTTAATGAAGAGTACTATGGTAAAGATGACTCAGTTCATGAACAAGATGCGGAGAAACCTGTCTTCAGTGATATTGATGTTTGTTTTTTGTATGCTCCCAGTCATTACATATTCTGTCTTTTCTCTTTCAAAGTTTGGGATCATTCCACCATTTTCAGAGTGATGTTGAAAGTGATAGTAGTGATTATGACAATTTTCCCATCGGAACTATCTCTGACGACGTTTCATCAGCAAAAAACGATGAGCAAGGCCAAGAGAAAAATGAAGGCGTAAGCGATGAGATAACCCGAAGTAGCGGAAAACGTAAGATTCAGTAACTCGAATTGTTACTTTCTTCTTCTATTTGTTTCCATTGAGCTGCAAAGTCCGAAGAGAAATTTCCAGAATCTCGTCGCAAAATGAAACGTAACAGTAAATTTCGTGAAGCTGTTCGAAGGAAAAAACCGCTCTTTGATCCCAATGAGAAGACCTTTGAAGAATATTTCAATGAATATTATGCTCTCAACTACGAGGATATTATCGGTGGGAATATTTCACTTTTTTGGCCCGCTCACGATGGTACATAATAGCCGTGTTGCACGTATTTCTCTCCGTCTGTAACAATGTCCTCGCTTTTGTGATGACAAACGCAGAACATTTTATAGCGCTTTTATCGATGTAGCTTTAGGTTTAGCAAGATCCTGATAATTTATTGAATTGTACTTTATTGGGGGCCTCATTATCTGAATATCGTATAACACTCTCCGAAAGCTTTTTGCAAAACAACTCAGATTTCTTGACGAAAACTCGAAAATTCCCGACATTTTCGCATTTTCTTGGTGCCTAGCACCGTCTCCCAATAGTACGGTAGCTACATAATAACACTGGTGGCAAACCGAAGTGGGGGGTTATTTCAACACTTTTCGATGGTGCTTTCAGTGCCAGGGCGCTGACGGAGTACTAGTTCAAAATATTCGCAAAATTACTCGGAAAGTTGAGTCTCATAACTTTCGAGTTCCTTTAAAATCGTTTTTCGAAGAACGTTTGAATTGTGCAACATTGAGGATGAGTTTGTAATCTACTACGTAAAACCCCTAAAAGTGACTGTATGACGTCTTTCATTGCTTCTTTCACTATTTGTCTTTCGCTGGTGTTTACGAAAGCGCGGTTATACTTTGCTACTTGATCGCGCGATTGGACACGGTTGAAACGACTTCGTGAAGCGCGTGAAACTTACGACCGACGTGGGTCGTGCGCGGTCGGCGCCCGTCTCAGGAGATCTGTGAGCCGCAAAGCTTCCCTCCTCCATCCTTCTTCCTTCTGCTTTCCTTATTTTCTTTCCTTCTTCCTCTCTTCTCCCCTAATTCCCTCCCTTCGAATGCTCGTTTAGAGGATGCTATGAAAAAATGCTTCGAGGGCCTCCCTATCGAAGGAATGACAGATGTCCTGTAACCTTAGGCGCTAACTGGTCACCGACGCCAGTCGTTCCGCTCGTGCGATCAAAGCAGAGTGAAGTACTAAAACACCCTTAACAATGTCTCACCTGTCTCTCACAACTATGTGCCATCGTGAACGTTTAGAAATTAGTTGATTGTTAAGCTTCCAATGTTTTCACTATACAGGAGATCATCTTACTCGCTTCAAATACAGGCAGGTTGTGCCGAATGACTTTGGCCTATCGGTGGGCGAAATCTTGTCAGCAGACGATCGGCAACTAAATGCATGGGCTTCGCTCAAAAAAGTAAATTCATTTCTTATTTTTCTTTCTTCTCTTTGAACTATCTCAAAACTTCGAATGATTCAGGCAACTGGTTACCGAAGTGAGCACGAGGAACTTGTTGATGTGAATCGATTTAAGAAAAAGGCGGCTGATGTGAAGAAAAAGCAGCGCATTTTTTCCACTGATTTTGGAGGGTACGAAGTCAAGCCTGGAGACTGTATGTGGTGTCAGGATGTAGTCGGAATGCTATTTCTGTTTTAGAAAAAAGTCTAAGAAGTCGGAAAGTCAAGCCTGCAGAAAGCGAGGTGCTAGCCAGCACCAGTGAGACAAAGAAGAAGAAAAAGAAGAGGAAGAAGCAGATTGATCAAATTAGCTCCCAGGTATGATCTTTTCCTTTACTTTTTGACAAACGTTCTGCAGAAGTGTGCCAGTTATTCTTTTTCTTAGCACTGAATTCGAGCAATTCCTGTTCAACCGTTTTCACTCATTCTTCATAATGTTAAGCGCTATAATTCCAACCTTAGGAACATTTGCGAATTATATCTTTTTGCACATGATTTAAAAGCCTTCTAACCAGCTGTAACTGTAATCAACAATTTGCTCCGTGCTTTCAAGGCTGCTACCTCACTGTTCAGGCACGCTCTTCGAGAGACTTATCATTTGTGAGGACCAGCCAGGATCCTATAAAGGCAGCATTGCACAAGGGAGCGTTCAAACACGGGCGGGATCATGCTCTTTTATGCTTGCGACGCCTTCCGAGGAGGATTGATGTCAAACCACGTCTTGTTCGGACTTTTTACGAGTACTCCGAGTAGATCGTATGAAGTCCGTCTTGTCCTTCGAGCACAGAAAACGCACTGGCCAACTCTAGCACGTTACAGTGGCGAATAAAGACCTGACTGACCCCTACATAGGTGACTTTGATGGTCAGCAGGAGCATAGGTACCACTGGTGATGTACTGAATTGTATAAGAGGTATATTGTGCTGTTAGCACATCGTTAATTGGATCACGACAACGCGATCCTTATGAGAATCGGCCTCCAGCTTAGTGTCGGGAAGGAAATAAACGTTCTAGTGCAAAGCAAGAGTTGTTTGAGCCATTCCTTTCGGATTAATGGGCTACCGGATCCCCTGCTACGTTCATCATTCCTCGCCTCTGGTAGACGGTATGTTAGGAGCGTATGGCTTTCCTATCGCGCGCCGTTTCAGCGCTCAACAAGTTCACGACCCACCTCTACGCATACTTTTCTCAGTGATAAGTGTTTTTGCTCACTGAGACACCTTTGTTGCCGAACAACGGGCAGTCTTGTTCGCTGCAGATGAAGGGCGTGTCAGGCGGGATGGGTTTGGCAAAACAAACCCTTTCTCCACGTTCTCCACCAAAGGCTGAAGC